TGCGGTGCTGGTATTGATAAAGTTTTTTTTGTAAAATAACCGTTTTTTGTCTCACGCCTGTCTGCAAGATGGCGCCGGTATGCGCGGATCGCGATGAAAGTTTTTAATATTTTACTTAGCTGAATTATGACTTTGACGTGTGTTATTTTGTATAGATTTTTTGGTCATGGACGTCCCCGAAACATCTTATATACAGAACATCACGCCTTTTATCCCCGAAGGGGCGGCAGAGGTGCACATTACAAAACATCTTATTAATGCCAAAATTAACTATAGATAATGTGCCGAAATTATAGTCATTGTCATCAGGCTATAGATAGGTATGTGCTCACTACTCTATTCTACTACACCACTGAGCTAAGGCTTCTTCTGACACTGGTTTAGAATTAATCACCATGCTTGCTCAGGACAAATAATCGATTTGAAACTTAAAATAATACTAATTTAATAAAATAATTACTGACGGAAAATCTTGGATCAACCCAGAAAATTCAAGATTTTGATGGAAACTCCATACTCCGTAGATTTAGCTTGAGATTGTTTATTAAATTCTACCATAAATCGTCAAAATTTAATAATATGAACGCACATATAAACTTGGACATTTTTTCACACTTGACGTCGATGTTGTTTTAAACGGAATTATTTTGGTCATTGCTCCCTAAGCACGCAAATAGTTCTTCTCCTTATGGGTGTTGTGACAGAAATAGAATGTTTTTGTCGCACTTTTCCTGTTGATTTATTACTATGTACTGTATTATCCTGTATACGGCTTTTTTGAAATAATTATATTCGTTACATGAATGTCGGGGCTTAGAATAAACACGAGGTTCAAGAATTTTAAAAATGGTTGAACAAAATTCTGTCCAAAAAGTATGATCACAAAAACCCAACCTTCTTGAACGACTGGCCCAAACAAAACTAGAGCAAGGCAAAAAAATACCATAGCTTCCGTCAAAAATGACAACACCCTCAAAAACCTTAAAACCCTTAGATTAAAATGTACAAATTCTGAACCCTCATAAGAATGGACGGGGAGGAGATAAGACACGTGGAAGTCAGCTACAAGCTTCTCCAGGATCACATAAACAAGTTGACAGAAAATCAAACAAACATCATTAACAAATTCGAGGTCCTTAACAGAAATGTTGACGAACTTAGAAAGACTTTGGCACAGTTTTCGGACAAGATCAATACCTTGGAAGAGGTTTCAATGGATAGGAAGAAACTTAAGATAGAAATCAAAATCTTGAAGAACAGGATAGATGAGTTGTATGCTATTGTGAAAGAAGGGAAGGAAGATGATTCTATTCCCAGTGCTGACCCTCAAGAAGTGGAGTCTTGTCATTCGGGCTTCTCCTGCTCTTCAAAGGTACTTTTGACCTTCTTAACAGTGTTGATTCCGCCACTTCCATGCAACATTTTTAAACCTTCTCTATCATAATTAGGCAATGTTACTATTATAGGACCATATTTAAGATTTTAACGTAACATATCTCTTAGAATTTGATAATTCCATTTACATACGTTCTTCTACTACATAATGCTATCTGTATGTACCTAAAAATCAAGGAAAACGGGTATCATTTGGAATTAGAATAATCAGAATGCGTAGAAAAGAAATGATTGAACGATTTCACTGATCAATGTCTGTTTAATGACAAATACGAGGCGAGGAGATATCACGTTTCTAAGTTATTACCGAAGATAAATATTGAGTTAATATATCGATTAGGAATATTGAATAGGTATACTTTTTGTGCGATTATTGTTCAATGAAACGGCGAGTTATTTATTGACTTGGCTAGCGAAATATTTTCAGAAGAGATACAAATGAGTGTGGGAGAGCCATGCTTCGGCACGAATGGGCCGGCTCGACCGGAGTGATACCACGGCCTCACAGAAAACCGACGTGAAACAACGCTTGCGTTGTTTCACGTCGTGTGAGTGAGGTTACCGGCCGATTACCCCGAGTCTCCCAAAACCCTCCACAATCCTCAAATTCCCAAAAGGCCGGTAACGCACTTGTAACGCCTTCGTGTTTCGAGTGTCCATGGGCGACGCCGATTGCTTACCATCAGGTGATCCGTCTGCTCGTTTACGGGCTTATGCAATACATAAAAAAATTACTACTGTCATCTTTGTATATACGTACCTAGACCAAAAGTTTTCTATTTAGTTGCTATCCTTTTAAGATTATCACTGAATGTTAAAATAAAGAGCATCCTTGCTTTATCAATATTTTTTATCAATCTCCTAAAACTTATTTTTACTTCTCAATAAGAAAGAGATTATAGTAATCCATTCCATCTATCCTTATTATTTTAACTTTATTCTATGTCAATAATAAAATGCATACTTTTTTAAATTAACAAAATAAATGAATAATTTCAAAGAAAATCAATAAATCAATTAGAAACTCCGCAACGGCGAACGGGGGCATCGTCACACCGTCCGGTAGACGTTCGACGAAAAAAAAAAAACAAAAAAAAAAGTTCTATTCTGCCTCTTTGCTTGCAATCTCACTGAAACTAATTTCGGTTGTAATTGGATTATTACAAAACGTAATTATGTCATCAGCTGACTGTTATGAAAAGTCTTAGATAAGAATTGAATCTGTAAAATTGTGAATTCGACTCGGTGGTTCTGTACCGTCGAAAAATTAATAAAAAATTGATAGATGTTATTTTTAATCGTCTGTAGGCGCTCTGCAAAAGTTAATTAATATCTATTGAGTTTGTGTGTGAGTCAAATGTCGGATAATAGACTGTATGGTTGGCGCGGTGGTTGGGCAACTGGCTGCCGTGCAAGTGCCGCGGGTGCACGGAACAACTCTTTGTGTGATCCACAGATTGTTGTTCCGGGTCTGTGTATGTGAACTTGTATGTTTGTAAACGCACCCACGACACAGGCGAAAATGTGTGCAACGATGTAAAAAAAATCGATTAGTCGTCTGCTAGCATAATATGGGACTCCTCTATTTAGAAGGGGCTTACAATCTCCATACTTGGCACGGATAGGTCGCTGTTTAATCTAACAATAGACGTGGCAAGAATAAGGATAGTGAAAAATTTTAGTAGGAGCTCTACTCTACAGTCAACACTCCATTCGTTTTTAACACGTTAAACGCCATGGGGGTCACCGGTGACCGGCGTTAGCGGAGGATTTACCTTCAACAGTTTTTTTGGCAGTCAAAGTCTTAAGGATAATTTAATTTAATTACATAGGTACATGTGTAGACTTTTTTTTTTTAAGGGGGGAAAATCATCGAATGACTGCTCCCGCCTGGGTGAGGCGGAAGGGAGTGTCAGACTCTTACTGACTAAAAACCACCCCGTTCCTTCTCCTGCACGTCGAGCCGGAGCCCCGGTTACCCGTTAGGTTCTCCGCGACACATGTGTAGACTAGCTTCTGCCCGCAGCTTTGTCCGCGTTCCTGCGGGACAAAAAACAGCATATGTGTTATCCCAGACCATAATCTATATATGTTCCAAATTCCCGTTTGATGATCCCTTCCGCCGTTTTGTCGTAAAGGACTAACAAACAAACTTTTGAATCTATGAAATATGATATCTCTAAGTATTGTGTTCAAGTGTGGGAGAGCCATGCTTTGGCATGAATGGGCCGGCTCGACCGGAGTGATACCAGAGCCTCACAGAAGACGTGAAGCAATGTTGTGTTGTGTTTCATCGTGTGAGTGAGGTTACCGGATGCCCAATTACCCCCCCCCCCTTTCCCCAATCCCTGAATCCCCAACAATCCTCAAATTCCTAATTCCAAAAGGCCGGTAACGCATTTAGAACGCCTCTGGTGTTCCAGGTGTCCATGGGCGACGCCGATTGCTTACCATCAGGTGATCCGTCTCGTTTACCAGCTTATCCCATAAAAAAGTGTAGCTTTAATTACCCCCCCCCCCCCCTTGCAAAACACTGTCTCTTATACATTAGCTCCCGTTTTCAAGGGAACCCTAAAAGTCTTGCCTATTTCGGCAACCACTGATGCGGTGTCTGCGGACCGATTTTTGTTTTTATTTTTAACAAAAGTGCCTACCTATCTATTGTGAAGCGTTTTAGCTAGATTGCAGAAAAATGAAGCTTGGATGTTTGTGGGTATTGTAAGATTTCCTTTTTGGATTAAGTTTATCCTGTGTCTTTTAAATAACCTCTTTGTCTCTAATATAATTAATGTAAAAGAATGAACATTTAGTTTATTTAAAGGTTTAAGATCAAGATAGGTTTTATTTCAATAGTTAGTGGTCCTCAGAATTGCTTGTCTACAAACACTTATTTAAATAGATTTCTAGGAAGTAGAGTCATCGACATTGATTCTTAATCTTGTTTTTTTTTTATGTAGGTTTGAGTAAGTAGTTACTGAAGTAGGTAGAAGATACATACATATACACAATTATAAAACTCAATTGGTATGTAAGTGTGGGAGAGCCATACTTCGGCACGAATAGGTCGGCTCGACCGGAGTGATACCACGGCCTCACAGAAAACCGACGTGAAGCAACGCTTGCGTTGTGTTTCGTCGTGTGAGTGAGGTTACCGGAAGCCCTTCTCCAATCTCCCCAATCCCTGAATCACCAACGATCCTCAAACTCCTAATCCTCAAAAAGCCGGTAACGCACTTGTAACGCCTCTGGTGTTCCAGGTGTCCATGGGCGACGCCGAGGTTGATCCGTCTGCTCGTTTACCGGCGTACGCCATAAAAAAAACATTAGTAGTGTCTATATTAAAAATATTACCTTCCTAAATGTTAATTTGTTCATATTTAGGTACGTAGGTACCTACATTTTAGCGCTAAGCAGAGATCTTCTTAAAGTATTTTAGGAATATATTTTTATTATGCCTTACGTAAGTCATCGTTGTCTTATGACTTCGGATTCATAGATTTGGTAACTCCATCCGTGTTTGAAAACCAACCTCGAGTACAGAATATCACCTATAATAGAGTCTAGAAAATGTTTTTGTTATTAATTCATCTGTTTGTTTGTTGCAGGTGACAATGACCACTGGACTGGACAGGGACACGATACGGGCCGCCTACGAAGACGTACGCTCAGACACAACACCGACTGAGTGGTGAGCCGCCATTTTTAATAATAGTAATAGTGGAAACCATAGTTTTTTCTTCTTCTCCTCTTATAATATCTTCTGATTCACTTCGTTGCGGGAACCAAGACAGTTATTCATGTCCCTGCGACGCGCCGGACTTCAGTGTTCTGATGTTTTTATGGTTGTATCTACTGTAGATCCTGGCTTACAGGAGTTGCAGCGGTTTTGGGAGGTTGTGGCGGGCTTGTCCCATTAAAGAAGAATAGTAATAGTGCTTTTGGCATTACATTACGTAATCCTCGAGCGGGCAGGCAGAAGTGCACATGTTAATTATGTTATATTGACTTTACGAGTCTTATTTAATTGGTGAGATAGTTGAGGCTCTAGACGCAATTCCAGCCACCGTGCTATAAAGCATTGAGAAATTAGTACAGCACCTAGCTACCTAAAGCTTTGCACAACCCCTTACGTAGCGGTAGCAATTGAGACCCCTCATCTAACGAGACTACTTTCCAAAAAGGTCCCTATTCTTAATGTTGTATTGTTTGTTTGTCAGGGCGGTGTTCAAATTCGACGGTGCCCGCATTGTGTGCTCGGCGCGCGGCTCCGACTTCACGGAGTTCCGCACCCAGTTCTCTGATGACGACCGTGCCTTCGGATATCTCAGGTTTGTCGACATGTTTATAATTTTCAACAGGATACACATCTCCGCATTTTATTTTTGATCCAATATTAAAACTCTTATGAAATTAAGTAACCCTGTAATTTGACGCCCTCAAAAAGAATAATTTGCGCGATTTGGTCGATCAAAGCAAAGACCGCGCAACCGCTATTCACCGTTAGAAAAGTGGGGTCGTTTAGGACGATAGGAGTAGGGACTAATTCCAGGTAAATCTTCCAAGATAGTGTAGGTACCAAAGGCTAATTACTACTTAATAGGAACGCAATGGTCAATTCATGTTCCATGAAGAAAAACAAGCACACTGAAACAGCTCGTTTCACTAACTAAAGTAAAGAATATGCAAATAGTGGTTAGCATTATTACCTAACCTACCTGCTGAAAACCGTTTATTCTCAATAAGATACCTCAACGCTGAATTATGCTGCGGCCTAATTAAGCAATAGGTAGCATTTAAGTAACAGATGAGGCAAGTGGCGAATATTTAAATTGCTCAGTGACCGGCTCGCCATGCGTGACGATACTTACTTGTGACACAATCGTACTGGATATTGCATTTAAACTGAATATAGTCCATCAACAATACGTGAATAACCACTGCTATACTATAGGCATCCTCTAACATAACATAACATCACGTCTATTATCCCGGGTAGGCAGAGGTGCACACAGAAGTAACACCCACTTTTCAATATTTATGTTATAAGTCCCACGTAATAGGGGGTGAGCCTATTGCCATATACCGGGCACAATTCCAGGCTCCGGGCTACTATTGAGATTTTTTTTAAAACCCAGTTGTACTTTCCATCCTCTACTATTTGCCAAAAAGTCAGGCAGTTAAAACCTTACAATAAATACCTATTCTTCTTTTTTCTTTTTTTAAGAAACTTTGCCCCACACTAGGATTTTCTCTTGTGTCATGTGTGCGTTTACAAACACACAAGTTTGTAAACGCACACACCCAGACCCGAAACAACAATTTGTGGATCACACAAAGTGTTGTTCCGTGCAGGAATCGAACCCGCGACACGTTTTTTTTAAAAGAGTAACGAATGGTGTTTCTTGCTCGTTCTTCTCCACTCGAATCGACATTTTGGAACGAGCGCCTAGCTTAACTGACGGAGACTAACAGACTATTATTTATTTCATATTTGTTGACGTTTCAAAAGTACCAAATTAGGGTTTAATTGAAATAAATGCTTTTGAGTTTGAGTTGCACGGCAGCCGGTTGCCCAGCCACCGCACCAATCGTGCAGTCATTCTTGATAGGTAGTTAACTAAAACTTGGTAATGACACATGTTTGGAAGTTGACACCACGGCTACTCAAAACCCAAAATAGTGTGGAACACACTCCAACCAGTAGAGGAGCGACAATATCCGTATACTGCCAGCAGTTTGAGTACCAAGGGCTGAAGATCGAGCTCAGGCACATGCTATTTAATTTCTAATTACTTAATCACCTATCTGCAGGCTGCAAATGGGCGACGAGATGTCTAAACGCAAGAAGTTCTTGTTCGTGACGTGGGTGGGGCCGAACGTGTCCGTCATCAACCGAGCCAAGATGTCCACCGACAAAGCCATCATCAAAGACATCATCTCTGTAAGTACCATTATCATAATATAGATCATGTGGAGTGCATATTAAATGTATGCATATATGTATCACCTGCATGTTACTAGTGCCCCGTGGGTGAGCTAATACCTATTACTTAGATCACCATTAAAAATCGGTATCAATATAAAAATCCGATCGATTTCTATGGTGAAGTTCTCTTCAGCAGAGGCAAAGTCGAAGATTGATAACGATGTTCTCCATTACACAGGTAATTAGCGTAATGTCGTGGTGGCCCGGATTTTTATGACGCCTGTTTCTCATGCATGAGAGTGCGGGTTCGAAAGCTACTAACTGCAAATACAAATGTGACTTTTTCTGAGTTATATGTACCCACATTATTTAGAAAACATAGTGAGGAAACCTGGGCTTATAATTTCTAATTGTAAGTTTAAAATCGCCAACCCGCATTAAGTAAGCATGGTGATTGATGCTCAAACCTTCTCAGAGTGAGAAGAGGCTTTGATCAGCAGTGGGCACTTATAGGCTGTTGATGTATGTATGTATATTGTATGTAGCGTAATAAGACTCGCCTCCTACTCAGGAACCTGTAGCAAACATCAACAAAATAAAATCACTATCATAGAATAGGTATAGACCCATCACCTATATTGCATTATTGCCTAATAAACAATTTCCCTTGACTACACTGCCAAAAATAAAAAAAATAATATATGGAATCAATAAAAATGGCGGGCAATTTGACAGATTAGCTCAAGTTGCGAAGCCCTTGACCGGTTCATTGGCAAATGAGTTCGAGTCATTCCCGCAAATTGTTTTGCCAATAAATTAAATGTAAATCGGCATGATTCATAATACGGGAATGATTGGGATTGGCGTTGTCATTGGTGGGAGAGGTCGATGAAAATGAATAATTTGTTAAATGTGTCTGTGCAGTTTCTAGTGAGGAATGGAGATTTGCGTTAATACTAGTTCTAAAGATGGAATATCCGTTTTTATGATCTAGGTCCGGTTTTTTTATTAATGAGGAGGATTTCATTTGACTCAAATAAATATAGGTATTTCCAGTAAGATTGGTTTTACATAGAAGCCAAAATGATGTACAAATAATTGAATAATCAATAATTGTATATTCAAAATGCAATAAATAAATACAAAACAACAAAAATCAGATCACATGAAATCATACAAGTACTTTCTAACATTAAAACCGACAGTTTGAGCGACCGCAGAAATAAAATCATAACCAACAATACATTTGTACTTTGCTGTGTCTAAATCTATTTCTTTACTGCCCGCAATAAGCTTTAGTTCGACTAAGGTAGCTATTTGGGCCAATAGATTACTCGTAAGACCAATTTTTTCCTCTAAAATTGCATAAAATATGGCTAGTAGGCGGTCTAATGTGAACACTTTTGGGCCTAGCTGTGTGTTAAGCTTCTCTGTAATCTTGGCTTTTGCCTTCACTTGCTGAAGTCGCTTTCTCTGTTTCCCGTGATTCTTCATAAACAGTCTCTTGTCCTCTTTCGGTGGGTTATAACTGGCTAAGTATGCAGCAATGAGTAAGAACTTTGCATAGTATGGCAGCTCAAAACTCTGTGCAAATGTTTTAGTTGATGTTAATTCCTCTTTTAAGGTGTTCTCAAAGTTGTGAATTGGTATGCTCTCTGCATCACTATTCTCCTTCCCTGGTGATGGATTTACAGACTTAGAGTTACTTATACGCAGGTACAGGAGCTCCAAACTTGACTTAAGGATCGGAGAGATATGTCGCCATAGTTTTGATAAGTCTGTAGCATTGATCTCATTCTTAATTATAGGCTCACAGTATTTTATGAAGTTGACGCATGCCATGTGCTGCAATTCAATCAGATCGCGACACGGTCTATAAAATACGCTTAAAAATGCGTTGAGAAAGTTTGCAAACAATTCTGGTTTTTCTAATTCCTCTCTTACATCGTCATCGACTTCGTGGGTTATTAGTAAATGGTTTATAAAGCTCTTTTGATGCAGAAAAATGATTTTGAACAGCTCCTCTTTATTGTAGTTCGGGAAATACAGCTTGATAGGCTCGCGGACACCCATTTTGAAGTAGAAATTCTCGTAAACCAAATGTGTGATAAATATTGTGCATACATTAAGATTACACAGCTCTCGTAATCTTAAGAACGCGCTCATTATGTTATGGTCCATGGTACGTAGCCGCTCTGCTCTGTCGAACACTATTACGACCGGATTATTGCCAATTGCGGCCTCTTGTAATCTATTCAAATTGTTGGTTAGATCCATCAATGTTTCACATTTAACTTCGATTTCCTCATCTTCTAACCCCGACAGGATACCTTCGTACATAATTTTAGGTGTATAACACTCGATACAGTCAATAACAACATGTTTATAATTTAAATTCCATAGTACTGAGTTGACGCATAAAGTTTTTCCTGTAGCCATACTACCGCTGATAAATATAGAACAAGGTAAACATTCGTCACCTTTGCCAAGTAAATTAAACAAGTCGTTCAACTGTTCCTCTCTGCACGGCACTTTGTTTTGTATTTCTTCCATTTTTAGTTACTTTTTACAGTTTTTGTAAACAACCTCTTTCGTATTCACTTTCGATTTGATTTTGACAATTTGATGTTTTGGCGGTTCCGTTGACGTTTGTGAAAACGTTCCGTTCTCCATAAGTGTGATATTGGGCATGTTAGGTGCGGCCTCACTACGTTGATTTTACTTATAAAATAAAGCAATCAATAATAATGTTGCCCAGTCAGTTTAGTTTATTGTAAATATTGATTATTTTATATTTTCCTGTTACAGAATTTTGCAGTGGAGTTACAATTGGAAAATCAATCCGAAATAGACATCGATCAATTCAAGGACGCTCTGAATAGGGCGGGAGGAGCAAACTATGGTACAGGGGTCAGGGATTTATGAATTGCACAATAAAATATCCGCCTACGTTCTAAAAACATATCAATACTTTGATTTTAAGAGTCATTTTGTAATTTTTACTAACTGTAAATGTTAGTGTAAAACAACTAAGGATGGCTAATTAAAATCAAAGTTATGGTAATTTTTGTATTAATTAGGCCACCATCGGGCCCAAATTGTTTTTCTATAAGTAGGTATGTGCTTTTATTTTTAAATTTTTATACTAGTGTATTAAGTTCTGCATTGGTCATTTTATGCTGTTTCGAACGTAAAAATACCTATTTATTTTTTTTACAAAATTGATATTTGAACTTATTTTTTATTTAGGGAGATTGTAAAATTTCTATAATTTATTTTTTTAAAGTCATTGTGCAATTTATACACGTAATGTAACGTAAGGATTTGCCAAAAATCTTAAGTGAAAGTTGCCATGTATAGGGCGCGTTAAGTGCATTTATTTTTTTGTCTACCTGTATTTTACTGAGACGAAATTTTACAATGTATTGTATACAAAAGTATTTGGATTTTAAACTGGCTTTTATATACATTGACTAGTGTTATACCCAGCATTATTGGTAAACGAATTGAAGTAAATACATAAACATTAACCAAACGACTATAGTTTGTTTTATTCAACACTGTATGCAATTTTACCCTGAAAATAAACACGATATGACACACTTTTAATACATTATTATTTTGTAAGATGTTTCGTGGAAAACGAGACCAACTAAATCGACTAACAGCAAATTTTAGATGTTGTCATACCAAATATTGAACTAAGCTCAAAATACCCATTGTCAAGTTGCAAACCTAGTAAATTTATAATAACTATCGTGAGATATACTAAAATTACTAAAAATATCGAGCTATTAAATTAAGGTAGTAATACCTACAGTAGGCTGCGCGACATCGCCGCGACAGCGCACGCTGCTCATGAGGAAGAACCCCTCTGTGGTTCGAAACTAGTAGAGCTTTTCTCAGTATATTCACGTGAGTAACCCGCGATTTTTAGTTAATCTATTAGATAATTTTGAATTTTTGGCATTGGGATAGCTCAATATACTGGCACCTTCAAACCCAGCCTTGCCAATGGATAGACAGAGGCGATGGTATACACTTAGGACTAACAAAAATATGATAAAGGTATGTATAGAATAAAACCAAATTCATTCAAATACAACTTTATTTCAAAAAAAGAACACTTTCGCTTATGAAGTACAGACAAAATTAAATGATTCAGTTTCAAAATGAATAAAAAATCTATAATCTAGATTCCTTATTGCATTTGAGACTTATTAGTTTACATCATGTTAATAATATAAAAATATTATGGCTTATGTTTTGGCTATGACGAACACATTATACTTATTGCTAATATTTTTAGATTTTTTAGCAATTTTTTAAATATTATATAGCATCTTATTGTGGACTGTTCTACATGCAAGTGCGTAATACAAAAGTAAGATAGAGAAATATGAGGGTCAAAATGAATTGTTTTTTATACCACTAAGGAACTATTTAGAAGCTTAGGGCTCTGATGGAAAGGGTCTGAAACCTTCACTCTAAAAATGTAGGGCTTATAAAAGGTTGTTAAAATTTTAGCCTCATTGTAGAAGCTAACCAATGGGGCCTACCGTATTGTTGCTCACCGATTGCGCTGTACCTCTCGTTCTTCGTCCAATTGGGAATTGGCTAGAGTCGCGGCATTGAACGTTCAATATTTGACAACTGCTGTGATTGTACAAAACTCTCTTTCTACGTTTGTGCCATTGGGTGCCTAAAGTAGTCTTGGTCAACTTCATGTTACTATAGAGGTCTCCAAAGTTATGATAACTTTTTAAATTCTCTGGCTTGCAGATCAAAGAAAATCATAGGAATCTTTCCAGTTTCGCCCTCCATTTTCTATTCTTTATTTAAACCATCTTGCAAATCAGTACATTACAATTAAAATTAAGTGTTAAAGCCCACTATTGACCATTTAAGTTATGAACTCCTTAAACAGTGTGAGTTTATGCATATTATTTATATTTTAAAGATTAACATGAACACTATAAATACTAATATTGCTAGATAATAATGGTGTAACAATATAAAACATTTGACAACTGCAACTAGGTATATTAATATGTTTCTATAAGAATTGCTATAAGGCATTGTGAACATATAAGTACTATTTAGTATTAATTGTATTGGTACCTTGACTTATCGTTTTAGACAACAACATACGAATTTTGTAGACCGTTTATTGAAAAGCGCTGTTTTGTAAAGAGGCTAGGCTGAAGAGCCTCTCTGTGGTTCGAAACTAGTAGAGCTTTTCTTAGTATTTTCACGTGAGTAACTCGTGATTTTTAGTTAAGAAGCTAGGTTGTTGATTAAACTGCTGAATAAACAAGGTGGCTGCGATATAATCTACATTACAATGGCTACTTTGAAGTCATACCTACCATGTTTTTAACTCGCAAAAAGATCAACAGGAATAATATGTAATTGAAATAATATCACGCCTTTTTTCCCATAGGCAGAGGTGCACATTATAGCACTTAATGCCACTGTATAATTAACAACCACTTTTCACTATTTATGTTATGAGTCCCATTTAACAGGTAGTGAGCCTATTGCCATATATCGGGCACATTTCGAGACTCCGTGCTACTACTGAGATTTTTTTTAAAACCTACTCGGTCAACGAGGCAGGCAATTGAAATAATTACTTGGAATTTATAATTTCACTTTTGTTTATGCAATACTTTTTACTAGTAATGTTATAAGTCCTACGAAATTTTAGGCAGGTATACTATACCATAGTCGCCCCAGACTCCGTGCCACTAAAGACATTTCCCCATATTAAATTCGTATGTTGTTGTCAAAAACGAAGTCATTACGGACGGTAAATAGTCTTATTTATTATTAAAATATATTGTCTGCAACAGGTAACTTACGCAATAACTATAAAACTCTCGAATTGTACATTAATATTGCTTCCGTTACATCTAGCATGCGTGGCGAACTTGACTAACATTTGGTTGACAAAAATACTGTTTATATACCCTTTTACAAAAGACCCGTCAGATTACCAGAGACGGGGCCCACAAAGGTCGATGACCGGTTGGGGTTACGGGTAATGTTGCCATATAGGTACCATGGTCACGGCTCGAAGAAGGATCCTATCCCAACGGCTTACCGGGGCTCCGGCTCGAAGTTCAGGAGAAGGAACGGGGTGGTTTTTAATCAGTAAGAGTCTGACACTCCCTCCCGCCTCACCCAGGCGGGAGCAGTCATTTGATATTTTTCCCCCCTTATAAAAAATCTCCTATGGGGTGGTTTTTTTTTAATCTGTGACAGTCTAACACTCCTCACCTAATCTAGAAAGCGAATCTGCGACTTCTTGTTTACATTAAAACTCGGTCAACGAGGCAGTCCTAATCACGAGAAATGTTTGTTATTATTTAAGTATTTTGAACAACCATATTAGTCAAGTTCTAATATAACTAACTAATTTGTATTTAGTACTTTCTTGCAACACTCTTTTTATACTTAAAAGTTATAGTATTATTTAATAAGCATAGATATGAATTAAGCTGAGAATTGCATCCTAATATTATCATAATACGAACCTCGAGATTTTTTGTAATAGCAACATAAATTATTCAAGTTATTATTAATAGCAACATTGTTTAGTCGCGTCAAGCGAAATAGGTACCTAGGTAGATTTTATTCAAGGCCTATGAGATGGTACTTAAACAAATGACCTAACTACAGCTTATGCCATATCTATGCTTACAACAATCTTACAATTTAAATACAAATATATAAAAATCATTTAAAAACCGCATTAACTAATTGATAGCCATAATAATAATTATTTTAAGATTCATAATTATTCCTTGAAGACGGCAGTTGCTTTTAAACCTACCTCTTTTACTTACACTAATTAAAAAAAGGTACTTATTCAAACTAAAAAAAATATATATTGAAAACGTCTATTTTTCTTTGATATTATCTGTGCTTGTTGTCTATGGTTCATTTGAGTTTGACATTTGAAAAAAAAGCGGGAATTTTTTTTCTTATTGCGTTTTTTGTAATAACTTAATGCATGTTATACCAATGAGGTAGGTAGTCTTTTTGATATACTTACACTGGATGATTCAGGACCATAATACAAATGTAACCGGTCTTTTTAAAGTTATTGAAGTTGGATTTTTTAGTTTAAATGCTTAATTTGAATGTTACCTCTTTATTAACTGCGTTTCAGGTGTTGATTTCCATCTGTTGAATAAAAAAAAATACTATATACCATACTCTTGATGAGTAGGAAAATAAGACAAGTAATTAAAAATGAAACCAAGTACAAATTGTGTTGAAGAGTGGCTTGAAAGAAAAGAAGGTCTAATTTTAGATAATGTCTGAGGGGATTAGAAGATCACGGGCACTTATTATACTGGGTCTATGTGTCTTCTGTATATAAAAACGAATTGGGTACTTGCCACCTAGTCAAATTCAATACTTTTTTCGAACTGTCAAAAACGACAGTTTTCTATGAATTTTGTACGAGATTGTGTATTGTGACGTCAAGTATTAGACGTATTTCTTAAAAAAATGCTGAAAAAATACTAATATTATTTTTATATTTTTATTTTATTTTAAAGCTTCATGCACAAAATGTACATAAGGTGGACTTAATGCCGCAGGCATTTTCTCCCAGTCTGACCTTTGGGTTATGCAGAGAAGAGTTAATATTAATTTGGTCATAAAATCAATGAAATGAAAGTGTGATGAATTTTTAATATGTTATTGTATTGAGCGGTGAAATAATTTATCTTTGGTTAAGGAAAGTACCCAATTTACGAAAGGAGGCAGGGTTGCACATAATGGCTATTATGCCAAGTAGAACTTTCATTTATTAGGTACATAATACATTACCCACACACATATTCATACACGTAATTATATATAGTTATCATTTTACATTTAAGTATATATTTATTACATAGTATTGCCATTTTTATCTATTATGTATTATATAGTTATGTAGTCTGTAAGTTTCATTGATTGTTTAATTTGTTTTTTATTGTTTTTCTTCTATTTTGGTTTTCTTTTATTGTGCATCTACCACCCATTCCCAAATTCTTTTCAAAAATTCCATCCAAAGGTTGTCTGGAAGAAATCGCCGCGTGTGATAAGAGCGCCCATTGTACTCACATTACTATTGCAATGTATACAATTTTTTTCTGTGTGTGCAATAAAGTATAAATAAATAAATAAAAAAAAATACCTGGCGCGTGTCTCAGAGCGCGCTGTCGGGCGCGAGTGCCCGCAGTAGCGCGGAGTGCGTGTGGGCGCCGAACAGGACGCACAACAGGGACACGCCGTACCCCGTGGCGCGCTCGCCCTGTACATACATACATATTAAACTAACTTCCTAATGACTCTTCCACAATATCATCATCATCAAAATCTACTGGATTTTGGGTCTCCTTTAAATATGTATATCTTCACTGCTTGCAAATGAGTTTGAGTTCGCAGTTTAAAAGGTTAAGGTTGAGATGGTTTAAAATTAAAAAATCTGAAAAGCTTTGGATAATATTCTCTAGTATCTGTTATAGTGTGGTATACTAAGGGCCGATTTTTCATTCCCCAATAATTCCTAACTATAGAATAAATTTGTCATTTTTGTATTTTTTTAAAAACACACAAGAAACAACAATTTGTAGATCACACGAGTTGCTCCGTACAATTTGCGCGGCAGCCGGTTTCCCAACCTCGCGCCAACCATGCAATCGATTATCTGGCGTTGGAATATCGGTCCTTAGTATATAAATAATTAACTACTATAAATAATTAAGATATTCTGAAATCTATCACAATAGACCTTTGACTTAGACATTGAAATATAAGGTTATACGTACGCAGTGCGCAGGCGACGCCATGTCGATATGTAGCCAGTTTCCGGGGAAGTCGAAGCCCAGGTGGGACAGTATGAACAAACCAGCGCACGATGGCTGAGCGTTGTTACGGTCCTAGAAACAAGAATATAATAACAATGAAAGATAGATACACAATTTTATTTTTAGTTATTATTTACGAATGTAATAAAACTACATCTATTTCTGAATATCTCTTTAAAAATTCAGACTAATTAACAAGAAGAAAGCAGTAGAATGATATAAGTTCCCCGAATTCCTCACAATCTTCTAATTCCCAATACCCAAAAGGCCGGTAACACACTTGTAACGCCTCTGGTGTTCCAGGTGTCCATGGGCGACGCCGATTGCTTACTATCAGGTGATTCATCTGCTCGTTTACCGGCTTATCATATATGTAAAAAGTTTCTTCTCTACTCATCTTTTGAGGAAGAAAGATAGAAGAAGCATTTATTTGACAGTGAGAAGGAATCAAATGGTTTTATAAGACTTGCCCCCGAATACTGAAAGGCAACTCAATTTTAAGTTGTACTCAAATATCGTGCCGTCTCTGTCATTTTACAAAGAATAGAGATAGAACTATACTTAAGTGCGTTTTAAATTTGAGTAGCGTTTCAGTATTCCGGCATTGTTCTGACGGCCTTGAAATTAGACAGCCTATTATAGCTTGATGTCGCGGAAAACCTAACGGGTAACCGGGGCTCCGGCTCGACGTGCAGGAGAAGGAGCGGGGTGGTTTTTAGTCAGTAAGAGTCTGACACTCCCTCCCGCCTCACCCAGGCGGGAGCAGTCATTCGATGATTTTCCCCCTTAAAAAAAAAATATAGCTTGATATGGTCGTATAGTTACCGCGACGCTGTTCTTCATGTCGGCGACGCAGCTGGAGAACTCTGTGAAGTGCAGCTCCGGCGCGAAGGGCAGCGGGTGCGCGAGGTCCCCGGAGCGCAGGCCGGCCGCCACGCACACGGCCTCCAGCCGCGCGCTGTTCGACACCACGGCCGCGTGGTACTTGCCCGTCGCCGTGCCCTGACACAGTCGAAGCATTTATTTCCACTAAACCATAGTTTGGTACTTTTGAAACGTCAACAAATACAAAACAAATAATAGTCTGTCAGTCAGTCCGTCAGTGCAATTAGGTGAAGCTAGGTGCTCATTCCAAAATGTAGATATAATACTTTTGTTTTCCCTCGGGAATATCAATTTTTTTCGGAAAAAAGGACCCTTTTATTTAATCCAGACTACTAACTTTACGTCTGCAAAAATTCAATGCAATCGGTTTAGTAGTTACGGCGTGAAGTCGGAACAAACAAACAAACTCACTTTCCGATTTATAATATTATCAGATTAGTAAGGATTATATATAATAAGGATAAGGATTATAATATTAGTAAGGATTAGTGGAGATAAAAATATGCTAGCATTTGGCATTTGCAGGTCGCCTATTGTCATTTGTAGGTTGCATGGTTTCTTTTAATGGCGCGTCGTGGACTGTAACCCTAACTAAATTGGATAGGTAGCGCACACATTTTCTCGTATTCAAAGAAAGCATTTCGAAAGTTGATTTTAACAATACACATATGAGAATTAGACAATTTAAAGTTAACATCCAAAATTAAATATCACAAATAACTTTCGAATTTTACTTTTAACTGACGCTAAACTACAGATTACTTTTTATACAATTTCAATAAAGTTTAATATAGTATGATCTCATGTTTTCGAAGATTGTTTCCTTACCTGTGCTCCAGTAAGAGTGGCGATATCCACAATGGTATCCGCCTTCAGATTCCTAGAGGCGTAAACCACACCGTCACTGAGGACCAAGCGACCTGTAAATAGACATTCATAATCATCATCATCATCAATAGCCTGTTGGCTCACTGCTAGACTATTAATCTTCTTTACATAAGAAGGGTTTGCTACAAGGGCCACGCTTTTTTTTTTTAAGTGGTGAAAATCATCGAGTGACTGCTCCCGCCTGGGTGAGGCGGGAGGGAGTGTCAGACACTTACTGACTAAAAACCACCCCGTTCCTTCTCCTGCACGTCGAGCCGGAGCCCCGGTTACCCGTTAGGTTATTAGGTAACGCTTGGCAGGCAAGTTGGAGATAAAAATAATAATATAACTTGCAAATAACGACACTGATGCAAGCGCCAACGCTAGCCTAGGCTGCGCGACATCGCCGCGACCGCGCACGCTACTCATGAGGAAGAACACATCAGTGGTTCTTATGTTCTTTTAAAAAAAAAACGTGGCTTTACACAAGGATTTTCTCCTATGTCGTAGGGGCGTTTACATACATACAAGTTCACATACACATTACACCCAGACCCGAAACAACAATCTGTGGATCACACTAAGAGTTACTCCGTGCGGGAATCGAACCCACGACACGTTGCACGACAGCCAGTCGAAACTAGTAGAGCTTTTCTCAGTATATTCACGTGAGTAACCCGCGATTTATAGTTAATAAAACTTGCCTTCAGCATCCGTATTGTTGATTTCTACGGTGCGTCCCGAGTACAGGGTGTGGATGTCATCTGGTCTAGAAGTAAAATAGAAATATGTAAATTAAACAGAGTCCTTTTATACATACTTGTAAAACATGACGTTTCCAGAGTTCTACCAAATTATGTAGTGTCATGATAATAATGAATACTTATTTCCATTCTTCAGCATCATTCGTTGAACGGTTGAATCAATTTCGCGCATTATTCTTTTGTTAGATTTGTCAAGGTTATAATAAAATAAGGATCTAATAAAATACATAATATAACATCATTAGAGGTGCATATTACGGCACTTAATGCCACAGTATTGCCATATACCGGGCACAATCCAGACTCCGTGCTACTACTACTGAGAATTGAGAATGAGACCTGGGAATCAAACCCGAGACCCTTTGCCAGGCAGTCGCACTTGCAACCACTCGGCCAACGAGGCAATCTATTATAGAGTCCAGTCCAGAGAGAGTACTATCTTATACTATTATATAAAGCGGAAGAGTTTGTTTGTTTGTTTGTTTATTTGAAGGCGCTAATCTCCGTAACTACAAGTCTGATTTAAATAATCGTTTTACCTAGTAGCAAGAGGGCCGACAGAGTTCTCAGCGAGACACAGCACGGCGTGTAGATTGACGGTTGGTTTGGACTTGACCGCCAGGGCGAACGCGCCCAGTACTGCCGCCGCCCCGCCGCAGTCACCCTTCATACCTACCATTGAAGTCTGTGGGGAGGGAGTCACATGTCTTTTATTATATACAGGGGTAGGTACAAGTGTATATTAAACTAGCTGACCCGACAAACGTTGTTTTGCCATATAATTTCAGTTTTCGACCGAAGAGGAAAAATGATTAAATTACTAAAATGGCTATTAAAAAATAAGGATCAAAAATTTTGTCTAAAAAATAAAATAATAAATTTAGGGGTGGACTACTCTAACATTTAGGGGGATGAAAAATAGATGTTGGCCGATTCTCATAGGTAAGCACAAAAAAAAATCATCAAAATCGGTCAAGCCGTTTCGGAGGAGTATGGCAACCAAGTAAGGCAAAACTGTGACACGAGAATTTTATATATTAGAAGATGGTTACATCAGCTTTTTAACAAAAGGGTAGTAGACTATGTATGAAATTTAAAAATATGGTTAGTCCGTCAGTTAGATAATAAAAAAATCGTAAACAAAATAAAAAAAATAAGTGATTTTTTATTCATTCAAAACAAAATACTCTTCGGTTATTGAATAATATGCAAAACTATTTTTTTGTAAAGCAACACTGAAATATTATGTATAATGTATGTACGGTCAAAGGTCAAAAGTCCACTGCCACCGTAAGACTACTATCGATTATATACACACACGCACGCATATTCGTATCCGTGTGCGTACAAACGCGTGCGTACGCATACACATACGCACGCGTTTGTATGCACATTAATATGAAATTACCTACGCATTGCTGTGTGAACATCACTCACGGTGGCAGTGGACTTTTGACCTTTGACTGTACAAACAAGATGTATGGATGTATGGATGAGTGGAAGTATGTATATTGAATGACAAGATGAATGTGGAAAACCAAACATAATTTTATTGTACTTTTCAAAAACTGATGCAAAATAAATCGGATGGATGAGTGAATGCACAATATCGACAAGTATGATACCCAGCAGATGATCAAACCCGCGCTGGAATGGTAGTGTTGCTTTATAAGACCTATTTTGGGAAACAAAGTAAAGAATTTTGAATATTGGATCCAATACATAAACTCCATATTTGAATGAACAATTGTATTCCAAAAAGTGGGTATTGCACAAAGTATTTTACTATTTTCAACTTCAATATTAAAGAATCCAATATCTCATAAAATTATTATAAAAGTCCAATTAAATCCTCCACCAAATCCCCCATGCCCCTGCAAACCCTGTCCCCCATCCCCCAATCCCCCAAAGCATGAAAAAACGTCACAAACTCACCCTTGCCTTAATACTGAGGCCGCCGGTGTCGTAGACGATGCCCTTGCCCACCCAGGCCACAGTGTCCGCAGCGCCGGGGGCATTGTATGACAGCGTCACGAGTGCCGGTGGACAGGCCGCCGCCCTCCCCACTCCGTAGATCCCTCCCATCCCACGAGCTTTCAGTTCCTCTCCCCGAATCACTGTTGGTTCGAGGATATCCAGTTCTTTTGCTACTTTGAATGCTTCCTGTAAAAACGATTTTAGTTTGACGATGGCTTTTTGTGGTGTGGAAAACAAAGTAATTTATTGTACTTGTGTGTGACCACGGCCTCACAGAAACAGAAAACTGACGTGACGACGTGTCGTCGTGTGAGTAAGGTTACTGGAGACCAAATTAGCCAGTCTACCCAATCTCCGAATCCGCCACAATCCTGAAATCCTCAATTCCCAAAAGGCCGGTAATGTATTTGGAACGCTTCTGAGGCCTTAGTACGAGTTTGATTTACGTTTAAAGTATTCGAAACGAGTATGCGTTCGGCACTCTGATTGGCCGACACCAATGAAGCAACCAATCAGAGCGCCGAACGCGTACTCTACTTTAAACGTAAAACAAACTCGTACTAACGCCTCTGGTGTTCCGAGTGTCCATGGACGGGGCCGATTGCTTTCCATCAGGTGATCCGTCTGCTCGTTTACCGGCTTATATCATAAAAAATAAACACAACATCAAGCCTTTTATTCTGTGAATAAGTAGACACATTGAAATCTCACTTTTCGCCAGTTATGTTGAGTCCCATGTAATAGGGGGTGGGCCTATTGTTATAAACATGTTTTCAATTTTGGCCTATACGTTATTCAAATAAAATAGAAATATATACGAAAACAATTTTCGATATTAGAGACCAATCCCTTATTTAATTAGCGTTTATGACATTTATCTAGCGATACTATTTTAATATGCCTTACCTCAATAAACTTATCAACATTCATAATATTGGCCGGAGTATCAGTGATCCTGGCAGCCAGCCTGGTGGCATCCGCTGCATCCTGCAAGGTCTGAACCTCCTCAGCAGACAGGGTGTTGTCACATAACGCGGGGTCTAAAGTACCGATACCCTCGTCCTCTGATTCCCCATCTGAAAGGGGTTAGAATACTCTGACATTTTTAGGGGTGATTTAGTTGATGGAGTAATTAATGAAGATTTTAACGGAGTATAGTGATGGCAAGTGATTTTTCAGTGAGTGAAACAGGAAAAGCCAAAATACTGACATCTGTGAATGTAAATTTAATTGAAATGGATTTTTTCTATCATAACATAACATAACATCACGCCTTTTATCCCCGAAGGGATAGCCAGAGGTGCACATTACGGCACTTAATGCCACTATACAATGTAAAACCCACTTTTCACTATTTATGTTACGAGTCCCATGTAATAGGGGGTGGGCCTATTGCCATATACCGGGCACAATTCCAGACTTCGTGCTACTACAGGATTTTTTCTATTCTCTGACGTTTTTTGCACAATTTAATTTTGTTATTTCTTTGCAGATCGATAACATTTAATTAGATCCTCTTGAAGAACTTCTGAATAATATTCGTATCACATTTCAGCTTTGTGATTTTTATATGAATTCTAATGTTGTAATGTGATGTTCAAAATGTACTATTCTAATAATCTAATTCATTGCTAAAGCCCGAATACTGGAAGGCTACTCAATTTTAAATTGTAGGTACTTAAATATCGTGCCATCTCTGTCATTTTACAAAGAATTTCTAGAGACAGAACTATACTTAAGCACGACTTAAATATTCACCTTTCAGTATTCGGGCATAAGTTTTACTATAGTACTGACCGGGTTTATCCTCCTTAAGCAGATGTATTTCTACGGCAACGGAGCGCGCGGCAGGTGGCGCCGGCGCTGCGCTGAGCGGGGAGGCGGCGGAACGCGCTTGGAATAAAGGGTAGCAGCGCGCTATACTTACTGCGCTCGGTAGAGCGTCGCGTTTGCGGCATACCAACTGTTAAACAGGAAGAAAATATGTTTAAATACAACATAACATAACATCACGCCTTTTATCCCCGAAGGGGTAGGTAGAGGTGTACATTATGCCACTGTACAATGTAACACCCACTTTTCACTATTTACGTTATGAGTCCCATGTAATAGGGGGTGAGCCTATTGCCATATACCGGGCACAATTCCAGACTCCGTGCCACTACTGAAAATTTTTAAAAAACCCAGTAATACTTTGCCCGACCCGGGAATCGAACCCGAGACCCCTTGCCCGGCAGTTGCAATTGCGACCACTCAGCCAACGAGGCAGTATTTACCTACTTTAAGTTCTAAGTTTGAAATATTGTGACAAGAAAGCGAACTCACCACAATAGTCTCATCAGTAGACCGTTGAGTAGACCGGACGATTTTAGCCAGAGCATGGTTTCTGGCTGGTGCAGCGTGACGGGAGCGTCGAGCTGGTAATGATGCTAGAGAGACTGCGCGCGGCCAGAGCTCGCACGAGTCGCCCGGGGATGAAGTCACGCATTGAAGACCACGGCGCCAGGCCTAAGGGGAATGAAGAGTGCTATTGTAATGGGAGGAGAGCCTATTGATATAAACAGGGAGTAAGTACCATGACCCATTTTTGGTTTATTTACAATCATCGAAAATATATTTTAGGATTTCTTTTAGTAAATGCTTTCTTTTGCTTTTTCATTATAAAATAAAAAGAAAAATAGTCTGTTGTTCTGCTTCGGCTCACAGAAATCTATCTAAATTTAGAACATAAAATTAGTTTTACTTAGAGACCAACAGACAGACAAACATGTTTACTTTTTAAAGTACCTTTTTGGTGTGATTAAAATAAATTAGTTGTGATAAATAAATGACTTCCACTTCAACTTTGCCCATACTAGAGATGCACCGAATATTTGGTTACTATCCGGTATCCGGCCGTTATTTACTATCCGGCCGGATACCGGATAGTAACCTTGGTAGATTTTATAAATCAAATCTAAATGAAGACACAGTTGTAATCGCACCTTTTTATTATTTTAAACAATTTTAACTTTTTTATAATAACAAGTCAAAACCGGCACGGTGAGCGGCGTGGCGGTACGCGACACGCACCTACGAAACTCAAAATGTAGGTATCTGCCGGCCGAATATTCGGCGGCCGAATACTGAATATTCGGCGGCCGAATACTGAATATTTGGCGGCCGCATACTGAATATTCGGCGGCCGGATACCGAATATTCGGCTGGTAGTCAGTCAGAAAATAAGTAAAATCATGTCTTACCTCTTCACTAACTCTAGGTTCCAGTTTACAGCGCACATCGTCCCAGTTGAGGGCGCTGAGGTGGGCCGCCTGCCCCACTATCAGTACTGGCTGCTGCTCAGGGTCTGAAGACGTCAGCCCCGCCCTGATCTTTATACTCACCGACGCGTTCGACATTGTGCGAACTGGATAGACAGAGAAGAGACATTGGAAGATTAATTATTCGAATAGATAATTACTATGGACTAATACAGATTGGACATAAATAAATAATATCACTTAAGAATGTGTATTATTGTGTGTGCTCATGATATGATACCAGCTACCTATATTACAAGTCTCATATGTGAATATAAGTTGTTGCTATACATATTTTTTTCGTAAAAAATCTTTTAACTGATCATCTCAATTCTTATTCATTTATTAACTTATACACTACATATTTCCGCAGAAATCTCTTCCTGCAATCCTTCGACAGGAAAAACCGTAAAAACTAAGACACTGTATAACATAGTATGAACAAAAATTACCAAAACTTAAGCCAACACAAAATAAAACCGATAAATAATGTATTAAATAAATATATCTCCTCCATATTGATGACTTTATGAAGTACCAATAACATAACATTATGCAATAACACAATTTTTCTCCTAACTAAATCCAAATACACTCTTTACACATTCTTAACACACATAACACTTGTATTTTTAACTAAAAAAATAACACTAAATGTTTACAAATTACTTTGTCTAGAAGCCCAGCCAGCGACATTAGGTTTTAATCTATACTGCATGTTGACACACCTGCCTACACTCTAACAGACACTAAATAACGCACAAAGTCACATTGATATAACTTTAAAATTTTTTCTAATACAAAAAAAAAGTAAAAAAAAAAGCATAATTATGTTGTTTGACAACTAGTTTATCTCACTAATGTATAGTAATATATTAAACGCATAATGAACTAAGATTTGAATATTGTTTACAGATAAACATCATATGGTTCTTGTGTGACAAATTCTAGGTATCTACTTAGTATCTGAGCAATTGAACTTTGGTATTTATTCAGTTTTTGTATATATGGAAATAGGTACAAAATATTATGAAATTATTAAATGGGGACCAAAGTAAATTAAATAATATTTTGCTAGACCTAAGCATCAAATTCGAATTTGTAAGATACATATATACATACATAACTTCACGCCTGTCTCCCATGGGGGTAGGCAGAGACTAGGAAACGCCAATTACAACGATTCCTACATACCTCTTTCGCTTCATCAACAGTCATCAATCTTTTCATGCATGCTCGTCGGTTAAGGGTACTTTTAAATTGGCCCTTCTTTAATATATCGCCAATCTACCTTGTAACTTAACAAAACAAATAAGGCACAAGCAGACGATGTCTCGTTATTTTCGTAAAGAAAAAGATTTTAAAATGGAAATGTAACGGACAAGCTGCTCAGAAAAACTAAAAAATAATACCTACCTTCCTACAGCACCTCAAATCTGCTTCACTCCACTACAAAACTTGAACTGACACACAGTAAATCAGAGTGTTGTAAATATACTATTTAAGAGCCATTACAGTAGACAATACTTACATAAATAGAAGACACAAATGCACTTGTCACGCTAATTACATGTGAACTACGGTAATGGTAATCAAGATTGGAAAATATGAGACCTTTGAATTAATTTCTGTTTTAATTGTGTTGCCTGTTTTATTGTATATGTTTTATATTTCTGTCTCTGTCTATGATGAAGAATTACTAAACTGCTCGGTACTGAAGCGGTCACCGGTGCTCGCTCTCCATTAAAACCATTATAGACCATATTTCCGATGTTTAGAGACTACTTTTGTATGAATAGATTTTGGGTATGATATATCAACGTAGGTATTTATTTAGGTTTTTGAGACAAGGAATAAATAGTGTTAGCTTTTTTATTGTACTTGACAACCAATGACATGAATAATAGTAGTGCTATAATAACAAAAGATGAATGTATGCTAAAATTGGTATATTATTATTAGATTGACGCATAACATGGAATTTAAGAAGAAATGTGATTATACAACATATAACATGACTTAACATTACGCCATTTATCCCTGAACGCCCTGAAGGGATAGGCAGAGGTGCACACTAAGCACTTAATGCCACTGTACAATGTAACACCCACTTTTTCACTATTTATGTTATGAGTGTCATGTATTAATCGTAATAATTGGCGTTCCCTAGCCTCTGCCTACCCCTATGGGAGACAGGCTTGAAGTTACGTATATACGTAATAAGGGGCGAGCCTATTGCCATATACTGGGTACAATTTCAAACTCTATGTCACTACTGAGAATTTTTTTAAACCCAGAAATACTTTACTTGTTTCGGGAATAAAACCTGAAGTTTTGGATGACATAATTCCTATCTGGATTATTGATGGATAAGTAGGGATGGGGTTCTAAACTTGATGTACTTTCTTATCAAGATTTAATGACCAACTACTAATCATTGGAATGAAATTTCACATTGGACATAGTTAAGAAGTAATTAAAGAAGTTGATGATTCTATTAGAAATGGTTAACACATTCATTTCATTGTAAATGAGTACTGGCACGTCATATTTCAAAGTATCATCTCTTTTAATCTTGTTTTGTAAATTGATTATTTGGATTAGATGAAATTATAAGTACAAGTACACACTATGTGTCTCAGTCATTATTTCTTTTCCTGCCACAGGCCCACAGGAATGTCGCGGAGAACCTAACGGGTTACCAGGGCTCCGGCTCGAAGTGCTGGAGTAGGAACGGGGTGGCTTTTAGTCAGTAAGAGTCTAACACTCCCTCTCGCCTCACCCAGGCTGTAGCAGTCAGTCGATGATTTTCCCCCGTAAAAAAAGGCCCACAGGAAGAAATTCCAATTGGAATATGTGGGGCCTGTGTACTCTGTTTTTATATAATGTATTGTCCTCTGTGTTGTATGTGTGTACATAAATAATAAATAAATAAAGTAAGTTTATATTCAAATTCAAGCTGTTATGTGAGTAAACCAAAAGAATAATAAAGAAAGTTTGTTATAAACTATATTCAAAGGTCTTTTGTTTATAGTTTAACAGCAAGAATATTAAATAATATGATACTCTGGTAGTCATATACATACTACAACTTTGTTCAGCAAATAAAGTGATATGATTTCATATTTAAAACAACAAATGCATGAATTCTACCTCCAAATAATGTACTAAACAAGCTAATTACTTTAGCATTATTTTAGTACATACCTAACAAAGAAATATTGACTATGATAACTTTTTAAATACTCTGAAAATATTACTTTTAATAGTAAATAGTTTTATAGTATCAAAACTAATATGTATTTAACAAAGAGGTTGGATAACTGGCTGTAAGTGTGGACATAGAGTAAGCAATATGTTTAGATAAGCATACACTTGATGCAGATGCCCTCTTTGTCATCACTAGTATATAATATATTAAGTACATAACATAAAGTCCCGATTACAATGACAAATAATCCGTAGTGACGTAAAATTATCAACAAAAGAAAATGTCTTCTACATTTTAAACATTTTCATTCAACATTGAGAGAAAAACGTGCTAGTCATGACTTTGTTTTCCAAATATAAACCAAATATTATTAGTACGTGTCTAAAAATATACCAATCAGAACAAACAAGCCTAAATTAAAAGGTCATTCACCTGCGACATAAGTTGGATGTTTAATTACACTTATATACGTATTAAACACTCTTAGCAACAACATGATTTAATTATATAACACTAAAACATGACAATATACAACACAAACAAGGTTTTTGAGCATCAAAAACGACACGAACAGATAAGCGCTAACTTTTAAAAATTGCTTACCGTTTTCCGCGTTCACCGTTTTCTTGAAGTCTTTTACCGTTCTAGGCACATTGGTTAGTAACTAAATTGTATAAAAGTCTGTTTATAATTAAATTACAATTAGTTTATTGTTTACTTTCGATAAAAAGAAAGTGATAGAGCTTTCTTGTACTCCAACTTGCCAAATCATTGAATAATTTCGTTCCGTAACTTTTGTGAAACGTCACAAAGTTAATGGAATAAAAAATAATATTATTCGTTATTTAATTTGCGCGGATAGAAATAATTGGTATTTTAGTATTCCAATATACAATTCAAATAATTTATAATAATGAGTATACCAAATTTTACATAAAAATCAATTCAAATTTATTTCGTTTTCAGACGAAACTCGACTCCATTTGACGCAGAATTTACGGCAATGTATTTTTATATATTTAATATACTAAATTAACGTAATAATAAAAATATAATATACTAACGTTATTTTTCATGAAATTATTAATACCTACAATTGATATTGCAACTGTAAACTGTAATATTTGTTATTTGTCACCTGAGTCGGTCGGTCGCGTTGGTGTTAGTTTGAGTTTTGAGCGCCAAAGTTTAAAATGAACTGAAAAAAATATGTGGATTTTGGACCTCTTATTATGGTAAGTAATTATTATACGTATTTAGGTACCTAAAAATCGGGTGAATTTATTACGTATTAAACTAATTATGTAGTAAAACCAATATTGTTAAAGCCATGCTGAAACTATAGTTTAACGTTTAATGACTTCAGAGTTTAACGTCCTACTGAGTTGCTAAGCTATTTAAAAGTAATTAGTGGCATGCGGTACAAAATCCATCAGGTATATTAGTTATCCCGATAATATCAAAGTAGGTGCCTACTCCTACTATTTTTGTGATTAGGAGACAAATCGCTTAACCTTTTGAGCGCCAGGGTCACAAATACGTGACAAGCGAAAACTGTCCCTGAGCGCCAACGACACAAATATGTGACAAAAACAGCGGTACATTAAAACACGAAATAAACTATTTAAACATTACTTTAATGCCTATTTATTTATATACCTGTAAAATAGAAGGTCCAAAATTTATTTATTTCCATAAAACTAATTAAATTGCATTATAAATATTGAGAAATTTTACGTTAAAAAGAAAGAAATAAACTCTGAAAAAAGAATGTCCTCACACGCCAGAGTCATAACTGCGTGACCGCTAGTGATGTAGCGCATGTTGGATAATATCATTATTTCAAATCAAAGATCGATTCGAAACTTTCCTCTGGAATATATTATTTTAGGTATAATTTGGTACTAGGATAAAGCAGCATTAATTTTATAAAACCAGTCTTAAAAATCATTCAATAAACTACATAGTCAAAAATAAAATTTGGTTGGGTCGAATTTCGATATTCACTAATCCCAACTCAAGCGCATCCCTAACGCAACCCGAATTATCAGTACCCTGTACGCCATGGTCACGACTAGACGACAATATCGTGACGTCACAAGCGCGGCGACCAGAAATTAGTGAAGTGAATGAATAATATTTATGATTAATTTACTTGTGATATCGAGTTCAAGATTTATATTAAGTGACTATTATAATGAGTGGGAATTTAATGACTACGGAGGAACTTCGTGGAATAAAGTCTGCCAAAAGTTCCTTTTTTAGCCACGGTGCGCGCTGAGATCGATTTCACTGTCCCCACCACCCGCTTTGCACCCAGCGAATTAGATGATCAGAATGCAGGTTGCATTGTAGATTTTGTATAATTTTGTTCTATTATTCAAAAGATTTATTAGTATAAGACTGATTGGTAATTGTGATAATTATATAATCGTTAATTGTTTTAATTTGTTACTTTTTATGCCAGGTTTATAGAACTTAATATTTAAAAACATGTATACATAGTACATACTGTATAACATTTTATTAAAATTTTCTATTTTTTCATAGTTTTTATTTACCTTCTTAACCTATTTCAATCATATATTTTTAAGTACCTGTTACATTCGGAATTATAAATCTGATTTAAAAAACGTGTTTCATTTATTATAAAATAATATTGTACTAGAACATCGATAAACGAGATATTACGTTGCCACATCCTTATTTCGAGAGCGAAGTAGTTATTAAAATGGCGGGCCGTCCACGCCATGGTCACAATATGAAGACAGCAGATCAAGAATAGTGTTGTACCTACAGTTATTATATTTAAATATATTGTAGTCTCATATTTGTTATTACGGTATTATACAAGTCTGTAAATAGTGTATAACTATTACTTTAATAGGAAGAAATGTAATGTTGAATTAAATTTCAATGTTATAAGGACATTATATTTCGAAATTAAAGACGAAAATGAAAATAAAATTGATTATCGATGAAGTTTTGAATCCCTATTTTTTTCGTAGGTATTTGCGGTGAATTTGTGGCCTGGCGTTGAGGGCAAGTTCATGCGTTTTTGCTCTGGCGTTCAAAAGGTTAATAGTAAGCCATTAGCTCCGCCCACCGTACACCCGCAATGCCAGAAACTCAGAATATTTAGAAGTGCGTGGCCGGCCTTTTAGCAAAACCAATTTGTCTCTCTTGACTACCTAACTGATCATTTCACTAACCCAAATACGTTGAAAAAATGGCGGACGTAATGTAATGCACGTAATGTCACGTAAACGTAAAACTATTGAAGCACCAAAATATCAGTGGTGTATTTGTGTGCGTGTACTTGCAACGCCGTAATGTATGAAGTGTATTTATGTTTATTTTATATATTTAAATTACGGTGTTAATGTGTGTCATACATGTCACGCGACAGATGTCCTTCTTGTTAATGTGTGCGTATTCTGCGTCTTAGTCTATAGTAGCCACTAGCCAGGTGTCGCAGTCGTTGTTTCAAGTAAGTGCGTCGGCCTTTTTCAACGTCGTTGCAAATTGCCATAAACTACGTATCTCAATCCAACACTTACTAACTAAAAAAACCACCCTGTTCTATTGCTCCGCGCCGGGGCCCTGGTAACCCGCAAGGTCGTTCACAGCCCGTGAATTTAAGTGTCAAAAATCGTAGTAGGTTATTGAAATTGCCAGTTATAAGATTGGAGGTCGTGTTGATTTGAAAATAATCATCTCCATCATTTTTAGGATAGGGACAAGGGTGACAAGATTATAAAAAAAAACCAAAGTAAATCGAATTTCCTTTAATAGTTTCATCATTATCAGCTACAGAACCGAACCACATAACAAATGTCAACCGTAGCACTTTGCATTAGCTTATAATTATTTATTTATTTATTACATAATAATTAAGCTTTATTCACTAATTTATACAAACTTTAGAATTCATGACTGTACTGCATATAAAATTATTGCGGTGCAGCAAGCCTGGTTGGAAAATAGACCTTATTTAAATACGAATTAAGATTATAATTTGCGTGTAATGGAAGTCGGTTAGTGAATTGTACAGTCAGATTAAAAAATAAGTGATCGATTTGTAAAGATTTTATTTTTTTGTATTTTTTGGCGTAATTTAGTTTACAATAGAGCAAAGAGACTTCCATTACAAGTCCAGTCCCAATTTCGAGACCCAGTCCTAGAAATAGTATTGAAAATAATTTAATTACAAATAACTTAAGTAATGTACTTACTTACAATTATCTATGGAAGCGCCTTTGTAATAAATCGATGGCCTTATCATTAATGTGTAATAATTTAAGGTTACCACACCGCAACTTACTGTGAAGGCTTTCTCACATGTTCCGGTTGTTGGGTACCCGGCAGCGTAGTGTATGGCCACGTACCGGCGTAATTTGTATAGTACATTGCGCCAGCGGGTAGCTGGTACTGGCTATCGGACAACCAGAACGTGTGAAAAGACATTAATACTATAAAACAAAAATAATTTCGAACTCTAAAGACTGTTTTAACTAAGAGACCCATATAAAAATTACAATTATAATTCTATTAGCCTCTCGCATGTTTCTCGTACACACGGGTGTACGAGAGAGTTGAGTGCCCATCGCGCAATTGTACAAACGGGTGTACGAGAAACGCGCACTGATTGGATATTTTTTCTGTGACGTATATTTTCAAGTTTGCAACCCGTTCTTTATTTGATTGAACAGAATAGTTAATTCGCTTTTCTATTAAAATATTTACCCGTGTGTACGAGAGGCGCGCGAGAGGTTTAATAATCAGAACTTACATAGGCACGGTGGCCAGGTCAATCTATCCTTTTCTGTGTTTCTCTATCACATCTTCAACTTTATTGTATTGACATACAGTCGAAATCGTAATGAATAAAGACAGATTGGGGTAGGCTGATCTGCTGGTCACTATGCTTTTGTTATAGCGTTTTCCTATACAGGGTGCAAACAGAACGGTCCCAGAAATCGCCGACTGGTGATTATCAAGAACAAGTTTTATTTTCATAAAAGTAAGGAATTACATAATATCACGCCTTTTATCCCCGAAGGGGTTGGCAGAGGTGCTTATTACGGCACAATGCCACTGCACAATGTAACACCCACTTTTCACAATTTATGTTATAAATACCATGTAATAGGAGGTAAGCCTATTGCCATATACTGGACACAATTCCAGACTTCATGCTACTACTGAGAATTTTTTAAAAATCCAGTAGTACTTTGTCCGACCCGGGAATCGTTACTTGTCATCGTTTTTCGAGATCGTTCCATTTACACCCACCCTGTATTTATTTGTATTATAGTTTACAATGTTGGTTTCAAGTTTCTGCTGTTTGTTTTCTCCAATATAATATTTATTCATTTAACATACAAGTTGTTTATTGAAATGTCTATTTTATTTGAAACAGTCCCAAAAGTGTTAAGTACCTATGTATTTGACACACATATTGATAGGAGAATTAAAAAAATAGGTACAGCAATGTACAGACAGATTAAAAATAATAATTTGACTAGGACCTTATTGGACAGAAAATGAATAATTTTCTTGCAACCTTAAAAAGATGTTTGTTATTAATTAGGTTTTTTATTTCTTCTTTGGCAACTGAGTCTCCAATATGATTAAGAAATGTATTCCTTTAATACGTTTTATTACAAAATGAATGTCAATATGTGTGTCATAATAACTATGTAATAAAATGAATGAAAAATTTTATTTGCAATCGATATTTAGTTTAATAAATCAAACGGCAGGCAAAGGCACTTATATA